AAAATGCTTCAAAGCCTATACCGAAGGAATTCTCTTCCCTTTCAAGCCCTCCTATATTAAACAAAAAAAATGTAAAATTAGCAAGAGTATACCGTTCGGTGAGACTTCTAGTCGCAAACGAAGAGCTTGCCCAACAACAGCAGCTGAGATACTTTCATCGGCCTCGTTGGTAACAGTCAGCTTGCAAATTGGTCCATGTGCATTATCCGTAAGGGTAGAAGATGTCGTCAATTCAGAAACGTTCACGTGTGACTCAACCTGGACGTGGCGAACCATGAGTTTGATGTTAGGATTCATCACTATTACTGAGGTTAACAAGCCATAGACCAAAAGGCTCAACCGATTCCAACCAAAATTCCATGGCTGTGAGATTCAAGAAGAGAAACAAATTCATTGAACAGTGATTTTAGTTTAAATATACAGTAAATTTAAAAAATGTTAAAAATCACATATGGACGTTGAATTGAAGGTTATTGTACAAAAGTTTGCCAAAGACTGCGACAAGCGTAAAAGAAAATTCGAATTTTGAAACAAACCTCTCTGACTCCCACTGGATAAGTGCATCTTAGATCGTATGCATCAGCGGCTGTCGTTATGAACATTGGGTGTTTTTGTACGATAACAGTGGTAGCAAAGGTATCCTTTAAAGTAAATTAAAGTTTTTTGCATAATCCTTGTGTTGAATCAAAATTGATTTACCTGATCTTCCAATCGGACGTTGCAATGCTCAAATGGAACTTTGAACATGTAAGGCTTGGAAGCATGTTGGAGTGCAGAGAAAGTCTTCGCACAGTGTGGGTTCTCGGCCTGTCCGCGGACAAAAATTCTTCCCTCAAACGCTGTTGTCTCATTTCCAAGCACGAGTGTCATTCCATCGGGTTCACAGAATACTAAAATCATTCATTTCAAGAATTATAATAGTATTCAAGTATTCTTCTTCTACTCACCACCAAGTTCTCCGATTTTCAAATGTTGAATACAAGTCTTTCCGTCACCAGCGTAGCCATCAGGACAAGTGCAGATGAATGAACCAGGGGTGTTAGTGCAGGTTGCCATATGGTGACATGGTGAGAAGAAGCACTCATTCACGTCTAAAGAAACGCTTATGTTGGATGTGTGGTTGGAAAAATTCTTAAAATAACATTACGCTTGTAATTCATTGCTAACAATAGATAGGGTCGCAAAGAAAATACTAAGACAGCTCTCTGAACGATTTAAGACTCTCTGAACGACAAAACCTGGGATTACAAATACAGTTTCAGTTTCGAGAAGAGATGGGACTTGGTTTAGCCATGCCAGCGATCGCGTAACACTAAGGTCCCAAAACGTTAAAATTGGCTAGTTGCCTTTCGAAGAGATTTCTTGAGATGATTTCTTAAATGGTTCCTCTGCTTATGGGAAAATAGCGACAATGGAGGGTTATCAAACTACTTAAAAAAGAATATTATTGGGATTTTTGCTTTAAAAATGCACTGTAAAGGTCACCTAGCAGTGGTAGAAAGGTCAACATGATGTTAGAATAAAATCTTCTCTTTTAAACCGCGCACATAAACAAGCGCACATGTAAATTGCAATTTGCGGATGCGAAACAAGCCTTAGGATTTGAAAAAGGCTCCTCCTGCTTTTGGTTGAGTGTGATGCAAAGTGATAATGTAATTGTACACGCTACAAAATGTAGGAAAATGGTCGAAAAACGTGAAAATACGCGATAAGAAATTTAACTAATGAATTTTCCCAGTAGAGTTTTAGCAACAACATTGCGGCAGTTTTTTATATCTCGGCCTATTTACATCGGGAAATCGGAGAATTGCTCACCTTCACATTTTCCATTTCCATGCTTTTCGTATCCATGCTTACATACGCATTGACCGTCAATACACAATTCCGTCTCTTTATCGCATTTGTTGTTGCACGAATTTGCTACTTCATTTAGCTCATGTCGTAATAAAGGTGTAACTGAAAACTTTCCCGTACGTTTCCCAGAAAATTGTGTTTGGAAGATTAAAAGTGACTTACTAGGACTGCAATCATAGCCATTTCCCCGATACCCATGTTTGCAGAGGCATTGTCCGGAAGGTAAGCAAAGGGCATCGCTATGACATACAGTTGGATCAGAGCGACAAGAGCGCACTGGGAAACATGAGATTCCATCACCAAGGAAGCCTGGAATCAATGAGTAATTATTTATTTTCAGTTATCTCGAAGTTTTATAAAAGTTCGAAAACTTTTGTTTGTTTACAATTTTCCTCGCCTTTTTTTT